TTCGCGACGAAAATCGTGCGATAGTAAATAACGTTAACTTTTTTTTTTTTTTGTTTTTTTAATCTCGCATAATACGCAAAGTAATCGTTAAAATTTTAACAGAGAACGATATCCATCCAGTTTACTCGCTTGTACGTACGAGAGAAAAAAATTGTAGCGTTTCGTTCGAATGATTTTATCTCGCAATTTTTTATTATTATATTTATCTCGCGTATGAATATATTATATATCCCTCGTTAATCTTCTAAAGATGGAGAAGGAAAAAGGGATGCGCGAATGGCCGAGCTATCGAAGCAAACGCGTTCGAATGAAGTCCGAAATTTCCAGTTCGTTAAACCGAACCATCGATCCCTGAAAAGCGCGCCCGAGTTTCAAGTTTACGCAAGTTTTCGTCCACGTTAAAAAGCGGACGAGTCAAGCAAAAGAATATAATCCCAGGAACTTTTTTTCCTCGTCTCCATCCATCGTCTCGTTAGTCATCTTTTTTGCGAAGGAAAAGGGGAGGCACGAATGTTAGTCACGTCTGATGGTGTTCCAGAGGGGGAGGGTTTTTCTTTTTTCTTTTCGCAGGATTCCTTTCGTATCGTAACAACACATTGCTCTTTTTAGGGAATTTCTAAAAACGAATTCTCTTCCACGTTCTTTTTGTATTATTTTTCGATAATAATTGGAAATCGAATCTCATCGAGCGAAAGATATTTTTTCTTTTACCTCAATCTTTTAATTAATGAAGATTAATCGTTCAACTTGGTTAATGTGTTAATTTTATTCGGAGAAGAAATTATTAATGCATCCGTTCACAATTTGCATGCCGATTTCTTGGTCAATTTTCGTTATCATTCACGGAGTCATTGGTTATTGATCGCAATTGGACTCGGTTAATTCTCTCTTTTGAAATGGGTAGTATTCGAGAATTTATTACGAGCGAAATGAAACGAAGATAAGGAAGAAATGCCGGATGCCTTTGATCATCGCGAATAATGGATAATGATGACGTAAACGAGAATATCCCTGAAGAGTTTCTCGATAGTGGAGCCGCTTCCTCGAGGAGGAAGAGTTTAAAAGAGTATCGGATAAAAGCTGTCAGAAACTTCGAATCTGGCCATTTTGCGCGGATCTGAATAATTGAAATTCCGGATTAATTGTTATCGTCCGAATATATCGTACCAATTATCGAAATAATTTAATTTTCTTTTCAATATTGATTGAAAAATATTTTGAACAATGATTAAATATCCATAAGTCGCAGTCAACTTTGTTTTTTTTTTTAAAATTATAATAGGATTATTTAACAATTATTTTTAATAATTTAAAGAGTATTAAGTAGTATTAATTTAGAGAGATTTTTTTTTTTTAACTGGTATCTTGCAAAGCTTATATGAATACGAGCTTATAACACGGAAAACAAAATGAAAATAAAAATACGTATCCTGTACAACGATTTTACAAAATTCAAATTGAAATATTTTTTGATAAAATATAATAATTTCTCGTGAAGTACAGTATTTCATGAAGAAGACTTGTAATTATTATTTATAAGAATACTTGTTATTTAGTTAGAATATACAATTCCATTTGCAGGAAAATTAATAACATTTATCAATTTATAATCCTCTGCGAGCTCTGTCGATGTCTCGATGCCTTGACGAGCGAGTAAATATTGAAGACGAGAGGTGTGATACGCTTTGATTCGATTCAAAATAGAACGAGGAGCTAGTAGAAGTCGATCGTCGATACACGATACGAATAACCGTTCTGGGACGAATTCTAACTTCCACGAAAGAGAAGCTACATCGACATTAAACAGATCGAAATGATCCCAGCGTGTCCTCCTCGGTTAAATCTTTTTTTGGTTCCACCATTTTCTCGTATAAACCGAGAAGATATTTCGAAAAGTGTGTATCAACTATTACTTGGTTTTCGAGTCACGTGGAAGAATTTATGACGAGGGAGAGGGATATTGGATGGGACGAAGAGAAGGATATATATTTTTATAGAAAGATTGGCTCGACTTGCGACTCCTTTAAAAGATATCTCAGACTTGGACAATATCGGATTTATTGGGCCAAGTTATTACAAACCTTTGAGAAGAATTAGAAAACTTTCGCGGAAAAATTATCAAATAGAAACATAATATACGACAAGAGTATTGTATATAAAAGTATAATATAAATATAAAAAAAATATATATATATATAGATTTACATCTCTACACACTTCCCATTATCATTGCGGACCAATCGCAAATGGAATTTCGAATTTTTCTCGTGTAAAAAACGCGAGAAGAAATTAAAAATTTTGTCGTCTGAACGTAGTCAGGGGATAGAGAAAACCACGCCGTTGAAGTCACTTTTCGATTTATCCCGATATCTGTAACGGTTGCCGAGATATAACGACTCGAAGTGTCCATAGCGGTTAACACGGAGACTATGAATGGATCCGCGACCTATATTTTTTCCTGGAAATGCGCGCTACGTTCTTCTAAGAATTGTATACTCCACTGCCTTTTCCAGGAATCGCGGCTGCCGCTTGTCTGCAGTTTGGGATAGGTCAGTGAGAGCCAGGCGCGAGCGAGAGATCCGACTAAGCGACAAGGACGGGGAGAGTAAACGATTAAAAATTACCTTTCGCTTTACACGACGATATCTCGGCAACCGGAAGTCGTATCGGGGTGAAACAAAAACCGTTTTAAAGGGGAAGGTTCCGCGCTTCCAACGATACCCCGCGCGTCCACCGGAAGTTATTATTTTCGGAGTTACAGCGATTCAAAGTTTTCCCGATTTTTAATAGAGTTTAATAGAGGATTCAAGTAAATGGTTAAAAATTCTCTCTTCTTTACGCGATGATATCTCGAGAACCGGAAGTCGTATTAAGATGAATGAAAGGGGAATTTTAAAGGGAAAGAATCCGCGCTTCTAACGGTCTTTCGTCCATTAACTAGATATTACGTTCTTCTGAAGTTATACAAGGTTTAAAGTTTTTCTAATTTTAGTGGGGTTTAATTAGAGAGTTTTAGGATAAATTATGCGATAATATATATATATATTTATTTCTGGAAAAATATTGAAATACTGGCGATAATCTTATTAATGGTGTAATCGACGATTTTAAATTGATTTAAAAGTTATCTCAACGAGTCTTTCTTCTACTAGTTTGGATCTTTGTTCCATTGATTTGGTTCGAGTTTAATTACATTAATTAATCGAAAAGGTTTTGAGAGTCTTAAAGAAAGATCTTCTTTTTTTAATTATGCAAAGTAGAGGAAAATGTTTCAATTAAATGTTATGTTCATTGCTACAACTATCTAATAAAAAATAAGTATACCATTACGTTTTTGTTTTAAATGAAAGGTTTTTTTAACTCTGTCGATACACCAATTTTATATACCGAAAATTTATTGCAATTTATTTGTTGGTATTTATCAACTTTTAATTTAATTTAAAAATAAAAATATGCCGATATTTGCAATAATTTCGAATAAAATAATTCGTTCCATTTCATATAGATACAAATAAAATAATACAACGGCATACACATAAATACATAACGAAACATTATTCGCTTCAGCTAACGCATTATTCGTTCCATTTCATATATGATAAAATAAATTCACTATATAATTCTACAATACCGCAGATATTACGCAGATTGTCTACAAGAATTTAACAAAAAAAAAAAAAAAAAAACAATTTCTCCCTAATTTCTATCATCAAGATCGTATTTTCAGAGATTTAACAGGGAGAAAAAATGAGAAACAATTCTTAATATTACTCTTGTTTGCTCTTCAAATATATTTTTTTCTCCTAATTTCTTTCTTTTAAAGGAAACGATCGACACTTTTCTAAGTTTCAATCGCCTAATTCAAACTCGAATTCGTTCAACTTTGATTTCTTAAAGTGCTTTGCTTCCCTTCGAGGAGACAAAATAAAACTTCTTGCTTCGAAATGAGAGAAATTGCGCGAGAATTTGTGAACAAGAGAAATCGAGTGCTCGGTTGAGAACTTTCTACGAGTGTTCAGTGCTACTTGTGCTCGATTTCTGCGGCCGAAAAAAAGGGATTCAAGGACTATGGCCGAGAACGAAAGACACCTGGAGCCTAAAGTGACCGAGGTGACGCCGCATTCTGCCGAGCATCGGGTCTCCCTTTACCCAATTACGGTATGGAATATTTCATAATGGTAGACATTTTTAGAAATTAACGATATTCGACGACAAAAACGAATAGAGATTAGGAATTCATGCAAATGTTATAATATTCATGCAAGAGTTGATAAGTCGGGTAAAAATTTCAATTTTACTTAAAAAGAAAACTTTATATATTTGGTAATAAAAAGAAGCAACGTAAGCATAATTAAATAAGAGACTCGCAGTTTCATCTCTTCATTGTTCTTAACTTAACTTTAAAGTTTCGCATTCCTCGCGAACTTTCCTTCATTCTTCACTCTATTCCTTCTCTCTTTCGTGCGAATAATAATTTCAAGATTCAAATTTTTCCTTCTTCTCTCGAATTCTTGAACACGGCTACTTGTACTTCGTGAGAAAAAAAAAATATATATATATAAAGGAAGAAGGAAATCACTGGTTCGATCTAAAATTTTATCTTCGTTTCCACGAATATTAAAAATCCATCTCACTTTCGAAAATGTTCAACCACCTACTCTCCCGATGTCGATTACCTCGCGCAAGTATCTCCACCCATCGACTTTCGCACGATGCTATAATAAAATCGAGGTATTCAAAAATTTATTCACCAACCACTTTATCTTTTAACCACACACTCTTCCATTTCGATGAGCTACCTCGAGCACCTCTCTCAGTTTCAACAGCACGTTAATTATCTCACTTTCACGCGATATTCGACCACCGCCTTTAAGTTCAATTTTAAAAGTAAAAAAACAAACAGGAATATCTTCGTTCGATTAAACGATAATTTTCGTTTTCACTTTGTCGTAGATGGAAGAGAATAGGCGGGGCGAGGGGACGATGGCAGAGTCGAATAAAAAGGAGTCGAACGCGTTGGAGAATCGTGGGCAGAGGTTACAACAGACCCAATCGTTGCCGCAATTGCAACCTGGTGGCACGACGCCAGGTGACAGGTGAGCACGCGATCGTTTGTGATATCAACAATATTCCGTCGATTTTTCTCACAATTTTCTCACAAAAGTGGGTTTAACAATTTTGAATATTGCAGCAATAGATCTTTGGGTTTTATATTTGGAATAAAATGTAATATGCGGATAGGGATTATTTATAGATTGTTGTTGTCCAAACAAGAGTTTTCCAAGAGAAGTGTAGATTATGGAAAAATTAATTGAATTATGAAATATGTGTATTCGATTTTAATTTATAAAATATCGTAAGAGTATCGTTGGAAGTAACTGTATCCCTTTCCCCATGGAATTGGAGACTTGTTGTTTGTTGACAACCACAAATGTCGCAGATGCAATTAACTAACAAATTTTGTTAGTTTGCAATTTTCGCGTTGGAGAATCAACCAGATACCAATTGTCTGGATGAGATATAATTATCATGCTCGAAAACCTTCGACCAACCTTTAACCTTTGAAATAAACAGATAACGTGATAACATTCGATAAAATTCATTTTGAAAAAATAACGTGTCTAATGCACGTGTTTAACAAGTTATTTTTATACCGGTTTTCCATTCATTTTTTAACCCCCCTTGGATATCGATTCGATCTTTCTACTTATAACAATATACACAGAATCATTCACCATCAATATTCCATCAAGACAAAGAACACGGACAAATAAATTCAGATATCAATAGATTCAGATAATTTGAATAATAGAAACTAATTTTTACTAATTTGGCTATTAATTGCCAAGATTAATTCGAAAAATTATTAAATCCGCATCAGAGATCGAGATCTTTTATCTCCAATATTTTATTTCCAATATTTTATGAAGAATAATTCATCAAACTCTATACACCAATACATAATTACGAATCAATACGATCTTGTTGGAAAATTGTTAGAAAATTCAAAGAGATTACATTGAGAGAGGAATCAATTTTTATTTCATTACTATTAATTACCAAGATTAAAGCCACATCGCCTCGACCTTTCATCTCGTTTTCAATTTTTATCAAGAATAATTCAAAAAACTCTATATACGTATCGATAATACGATCAAAGATCTTGTTAGAAAATTGTCGAAATTCAAAAAGATTACACGGCTTGAGAGGAGCCAATTTTTATTCACTGTTAATTATCAAAACCACTTTTTATCGAGAATAATTCAAAAAAACTCTGTACACCAATAACTACGAATCAAAATACGATCGAAGAGATTACACAGCAAAGGGAGGAAGAAGCTGGGTAAAGTGCACGAGGAATATCTCTGTCCACCCGCGGGTGCGAAGAAATCGAAAAGAAAGGGAGAAACGTTCCTTGGAGGAACGCACAATGGGAAATAATTCATCTTGGGGATCATCGTGTTCCAACCTCGTTCTCTCGAGTGAAATCGAGAAAACGAAGAGGTACAAGAGTGATCACGGTTAAACAGGAGATTTTTGAAACTCCTTTATATCACGAAAGATCGTGATGACCCACAAACGAAAGCGGAGAAGTGATCGATACCGGCCGAGGAGCCGGTGGTGAATCGATAAAATCCAATTGTCGTTCGGCCGAGGGGAGAAATTTATGACGCTGGCAGCAATAACTGTTCGATTTACGACGTTCGTTATCGTTGGATATTACATCCTCTGCACTTTGTTTCTTGTTTAAAGTCTTAGAAGAGGGCGAAAGTGTGGCCCACGATTTCTCTCGCCGTTATAGAATCTCGCCTTGGAAAGAACGGTATTCGCTGCTTCGAGATGCGTGTATCGTGATTTGATACCAGATTTTTACCAGAACGAAACGCTTCCATTTTCAACAAACCCTTCTAGTTTTCAGGGTCGCTTCGATTACTTTTAAAAAGTGAAACTCAAAAGGGGAGGTGTTCATTTTTAAAATAAGAGAGTTTATTATTATTGGCCAGAGGGACGCGCGGTTATCGGAGAAATTTCAATATCGAGATGAGCTTTGTTTACACGAAGGAATCTTCCTTCCAAGAGGAGGCGCGAGAACCGTCTAATTAGACGGAGGGGGAGGGTAATTGATTCGTTCGCCACAGGAATCGAATGGAGGATTGACCGGTGCATTTAAATAGAATGAAAGGCGCGATTTAACCGGGTCTCGTTGGAAATACGTGACAACACCTCGAAATGTGAATGGAATTTGTAAATCTGAAAATTATGATTAAGATTTTTAAGAGTCGAATTGTTGTTGTTTGGAAATGTTCAACGACGAATCTTTCGATCGAAAAATTGAAGGATCGAAGGAAGGAAAAAAAAAGAAAAGATTATTAAAAGATATTTAATATTTGACCGAAAGATTTGACAATAAATTGTTTATTTATCAGTCGTTCAAAATTCATAAATAATCCGTTCGTTTGTATGTTCGATTAATTACAGGTATATAATATTCGATTATTGTTTGAAAAACGAAAAACGTGATAAATATTTTTAAATAATTCGATCCATGTTCGAACGAATGTGCGTGAATTTTTAAATAAAATAACAACTCTCGTTTGATAATTTATCTCGAGTATGGTTGTTCAAACGGATGTAAAAATTATCGATAAAGAGAAGAAAACAGAGAAAAATCAAGTCCAAGTATGTTAAAACTCGGACGTTTAAAAATTATAAAAAATTTTCTGCCGCGTTGTTTCGCGTTTCATTCAACATTTTCAAACATCAAAGTGTCCAGTTTCAAAGAGGACGACAATTTCCACGAACGGATAATAACAGCAATTTAATACCACGAAATTTAGACGGCGGTATTGCAAAAGTCTGGAAAAAAGAATTCCTAGAGAACGTGTAAGTGTATCATTTTTGCGCGAATAATTAATTGCAACGTGTATATATATTTTAATTTAACGGTAATTTCATGATGATGTACAATATACAGTTGCAAGAATCGAATGAAAACTGGTATTTCTGTTAAAAACAAAATATATGGGGTTTGACATAAAAAAAAGAGACAGCTAATATTGCGTTTACCAGTCGATTTTTCCACGCAATTATATCCCTAACAATTACAAAATGCAGTTATAAACATCCAAATAAATAGCATCTTTCCCTAAAAGATGACACACCACTTGTGAAATTATTTCTTTTTTCCACAATAACTCTTTAAATAATTTTAATTCGAAATTAATTGCTAAACAAGTACCATAACAATAATAATAATTTTCCTGCTTTTAAACGCCTATTAAACGAATTGACCGAAATCTCGTAATTGTTTCCCTTTTCCTAATTATACTTTCATAATCGCATCCTTGTCGTTCAAAAAAAATAAATCTAAAATCGTTCATCGAGCCAGTTCACGTATCACGATCGGCAGGATCGAAGGTAAATACGAGTTGACAAGATTTTCGAGAAGAAATTTCATCGGAACCAATTAATCAACGAATTTGCAACGACAACGCAACAATGGAACACCCTGGTAATTGATGATCAAACGTAAAAGTTTTCGAAATAACACGTATCCGTGCATAATTACGCGGAATCCTGATGTTAATTAAAATTTAATACGAATAGAATATGTGCCACGCCTGTTTCGTTTTACTTGGGAATTTACACCGTCGTTGTATTTACGCTGTTAACACACAGGAGTGAAACGCAAATAACGATATCAATACCTTCCCACCACGTTTCTCTAATACCTGGATCGAGTGTAAATTAGTGTAATATAGTGATAATTAGTAGCCAATAATATTGCAACAACGTCGTCGTTTATTAGGACAATACGAATTAAAGAGAAATTCGTATCGCCAATTAATTGCACGTAAAAGTGTTACGACTAGCGTCGAAGTTATAAATAATCTTCAAGAAACTTATCCCTCTCCTTTACTAATATCTTTAATTTTT